GCTATTAAACAATGAATGGGTTACCAATGAGATCAAGGAAGAAATCAAAGACTTTATAGAAAAAAATGAAAATGACCAGAAAACAACCCAAAACTTATGGGAAACAGTGAAAACAGTCCTGAGAGGAAAGTTCATAGCATTACAGGCCTATCTCAAGAAACAAGAAAAAGATCTAATGAACCATCTAACACAACAACTAAAAGAACTAGAAAGAGAACAGCAAGAACCACCCCAAGGAAGTAGAAAGAAGGAAATAATAAAGATCAGAGCAGAAATTAATGACAGAGAGACTAAAAAAAAATTTCAAAAGATCAATAAAACCAAGAGCTGGTTCTCTGAAAAGATAAATAAGATTGATGCACCTTTAGCCAGACTCACCAAGAAACAAAGAGAGAGGACTAAAATAAATAAAATCAGAAATGAAAGAGGTGATATAACAACTGACTCAACAGAAATATAAAGGGTTATAAGAAAATACTATGAGCAACTATATGCCAACAAACTGGACAACATGGGTGAAATGGACAAATTCCTAGAAGCATCCAACCTTCCAATGCTGAATCAAGAGGCAGAAAACCTGAAAAGGCCGATAACAACTAATGAAATTGAAGCAGTAATCAAAAAACTCCCAGCAAACAAGAGTCCTGGACCAGATGGATTTACAGGTGAGTTTTACCAAATATTCAAAGACGAATTAACACCTATTCAAACTACTCCAGAAAATTCAAGAGGAGGGAAAACTCCCAAACTCTTTTTATGAGGCCAGCATTATCCTAATCCCAAAACCAGATAAAGACACTGCAAAGAAAGAAAATTACAAGCCACTATCCCTGATGAACATAGATGCTAAAATCCTCACTAAAATACTAGCAAACCGGATCCAGCAAGACATTAAAAAAATCATACACCACAACCAAGTGGGATTTATTCCAGGGATGCAAGGCTGGTATAACATCCGCAAATCAATAAACGTGATACATCACAAAAACAAAATGAAGGACAAAAATCATGTGATCATATCACTAGATGCAGAAAAAGCATTTGACAAAATCCAGCACCCATTTCTGATAAAAACTCTCAGCAAAGTGGGAATAGAGGGATCATACCTCAACATAATAAAGGCCATATATGACAAACCTACAGCCAACATCACACTCAATGGTCAAACACTAAAACCATTTCCCTTAAAAACAGGAACAAGGCAGGCGTGTCTACTCTCACCACTGTTATTCAATATAGTACTGGAAGTCCTTGCCACAGCCATCGGACAGGAAGAAATCATAAAAGACATCCAACTGGAAAGGAGGAAGTAAAACTGTCCTTATTTGCAGATGACATGATATTGTACATAGAAAACCCTAAAGACTCCATCAAAGTACTACTAGATTTGATAAACGAATTTGCAAAGTAGCCAGATACAAAGTCAACATCCGTAAATCAATGGCATTCTTATACACCAACAATGAACTTTCAGAGTGAGAAACTAAAAACAAAACAACAAAAAACCATTTACCGTTGCAACTAAAAAAAGTAAGATATCTAGGTATAAACTTAACCAAAAATGTAAAAGACCTGTACTCGGAAAACTACAGGACACTGAAAAAAAGAAATAGAGGAAGATATAAACAAGTGGAAAAATATACCATGCTCATGGACTGGAAGAATTAGTATCATTAAAATGTCCATAGTACCCAAAGCAATTTATAAATTCAATGCAATTCCTATTAAAATACCAACAGCATATTTCACAGATCTAGAACAAACATTTTGAAAATTTATAAGGAACCAAAAAAGACCCCAAATAGCTGCAGCCATCTTGAGAAAAAAGAACAGAGTGGGAGGGATCACATTACCGGACTTCAAACTGTACTAAAAAGCCATTGTAATAAAAAAGGCTTGGTACTGGTACAACAACAGACATATAGATCAAAGGAACAAAATAGAGGCCCCAGAAATAAACCCACGCCATTATGGTCAGTTAATATTTGACAAAGGAGGCAAGAGCATACAATGCAGTAAAGGCAGTCTCTTCAATAAGTGGTGCTGGGAAAATTGGACAGATACATGCAAAAAAATGAAACTAGACCAGCAACTTTCACCATACACAAAAATAAACTCAAAATGGATAAAAGACTTAAATGTAAGTCACGAAACCATAAAAATCCTAGAAGAAAACATAGGCAGTGAAGTCACAGACATCCCACGTAGTGGAATTTTCACTGATACATTTCCTAGGGCAAGAGAAACAAAAGAAAAAATAAACATATGGGACTACATCAAACTAAAAAGCTTCTGCACAGCAAAAGAAAACAGCCTCAAAATACAAAGGAACCCCACGGTCTGGGAAAACATATTTGCCAAGGATGCATCTGATAAGGGGCTAATTTCCAAAGTGTACAAAGAACTCATACTACTCAGCAAGAGGAAGACAAACAACCCAATTAA